ACTTTAGATTGCTGTGTCATTTGGAAGACAGTGGTTTCCCGTTCTGAATCTTGTGAGCTGAAATTCACAATTTAAAGCAAGGCCAAATCAGAGACCTATCATGACATAATTTCAGATTAATGTATTCTTAAATCAGGGGGGATATTCTGTCAACATATCGGCTCGGTTGAGGATATATTAAACCAGTAAGATATTAAAAAGATATTTTTCGGTAACATCGCCACATCAGTTTCTACCCACGACGTTTTTCGAATAGAACCGAACCATGTTAAAGAATATGGGAAAAGGGTATCTCGGCCAGAAATATATGTTACCAAGATGCGATAGTAGTGAATAGTTGCTCGCAAGCTAGAAAATCCGTGCGCATTGCTTAAATGATATGTCACTTTAGATTGCTGTGTCATTTGGAAGACAGTGGTTTCCCGTTCTGAATCTTGTGAGCTGAAATTCACAATTTAAAGCAAGGCCAAATCAGAGACCTATCATGACATAATTTCAGATTAATGTATTCTTAAATCAGGGGGGATATTCTGTCAACATATCGGCTCGGTTGAGGATATATTAAACCAGTAAGATATTAAAAAGATATTTTTCGGTAACATCGCCACATCAGTTTCTACCCACGACGTTTTTCGAATCTACAAGAACCATGTTAAAGAATATGGGAAAAGGGTATCTCGGCCAGAAATATGTGTTACCAAGATGCGATAGTGGTGAATAGTGGTGCATCTCGCAAGCTTGCTACTCATTTAATTGCAAGTAGTTCGCTTACTAATAGAAGTTGACCTCAGCAAATGCCAAATTCCGTGGACGAAATCGTTCGCATGATGATGGCTGCCAAATTATCATGTACATACATATGTATGTATATGTATATATGTGTACATAATATGCGTAATATATGATACATCATGTCATCACCCTCAGCTGTTGTAAAAACCGTGTACTTAACGTATTGTGGTTCTAGCTGCCACGTTTTCGTTCACCGATGATTTGAGGAGTGGGGTGGCGCAGATAGCTGTTCAACGGAAGTGATGGCTTATATAATATGCATATAATATACAACTCCAAAATCAGCATATTGCACGGTTGTGACATTCGCCCCACTGACATTACTAACAAAGAAGTCGTTTTAATTTTTTTCACAGCTTGGTTGAGCGTGAACTTGAGCAACCCCCCTCAACCGCGATGTTGCTCACTTTGGCCGGTTGTCGGTCGGTTCTCCTGCCACAAACGAGCATGACTGTTGAAAGAGTTAATGTCTACCTTGAGAATTTTTTGCACAGTAAGTCATCATTTTCTTTTCTACTACCATACTACCTGTATACCAGTAATGCTCAGGCTAAATTCTATTGCTTTTGGCACAGCGGATAATAGGCATTTTTAAATCTTGGAGTCTATTTAGCACGTAAAAGGATATATTAATCAGTAAACTCATTAATAACCTGTCTTCCAAACCTAGATGCTGTGAATAAAGTAAGGCATCAAAAGATTCGTTCGTTAAAGTAGTTGAGGGACCCGTCTATTTACGGTGTAAGGTCAGCGAGAATATTTGATCAGCAGTCAAACTAGATAGGGCGGGGACTGCTTACGGGAAGATCTTTCAACTAACAGCACTGCTGCCTGAGAGTCTGAATTTTCGCTTCAAATGTCGCATCATCATTATCGCTGATATCTACAGCACTGTGGGCCACAGGTTCATAAATTTCGCTTTCCCATGAGACACTGCGGAAGCCTCAGAGTAGAACCACCGTTCGAAGGGATTGATGAGTGTGGCCAGTCGAAACCACCCAGAACGACAAAGTAGTCTCTAATTAAGCAATGTCTTTATGGGTTGTGCATCTCATTTCTTCATTTGGTGTCATTGCGCATTAGGGCGGAACTTGAAGAATTGGTTAAGAGTTACTTTTTGAAATAAATTCTCACACTCAGTGAAATCACTGAACAATGTCTGAAGACTGTTCATAACATTTCGTTGAATCAGAAGAGTTTGTCGCACAAATTCGAGGACCCTACATACACCGAAGTAATTGCCAGCACTTTTTAGTTGGTTTAGATAACGGAGGAGAAGCACTATGATATCTTATATATCGCCTCATTTAATTTCAAAGGAAACATCTGCGCTGCATTTCCAACTGAGGAACATCGTAAGCGGAAGATTGGCTCAAGTGTTGACTGAAGCATCAGCCTTCACCGATCCGTATGAAGAAGAATGAACAATTCAACGATAGCGAGCCTCCAATGTAGCATATAATAAGCCACGTTCACTCAAGCGCGGCCATCCTTGTGTGTCAGGCTCCTGTAGGTCTATTCCGTGTGACATGTAGCATCTTGCCCATGTCAGTTATGTTCATACATGACCTTACCGATTACAAACTATTGATCAGTGTGGCGTTATATGTGTCAGAGTCTGGGATCGAATACATCAGCTTCCGAGACAATTAAGCTTGTTCTTCTGTCCGAGTGTCAGAGAATTAAGCAGTCCATTGATAGTTACATCTGAAATACCCATGTGCCGTAAGAGCTTGACATTGACTGAACTTCTAAGTAGATAAGCTCAAGTACCAAAGCTGTGTGGGATGTATACAACGGTTATCCTGTGACATAACAGCCGAAGGCTTCCTTTCTCTCGAGAACCCATCACAGTTTCCTGGCCTGGAGTACACTTTTCGTCAACCGAACTAAAGTTTACGTTTAGCCCACAAGCCCAGTTAGTAGATGCCCCAATTCCCACGCTACCGCGTCCAAGCAAAGTCAAAGGAATCAGACACACTAAATAGGTATACCTTCTGTCGACCACTTTGCTAAACTATTCACCTCGTGACTGTTACTCTTCAAATCAGGCAAAGCATTTTTTTCATGACTGACTGACTGACTGGTGCGATCTGTAAAGCGTAGCACAGGCCAAGTCACTGTGGATCAAGTTGTCACTGCAGCCACCGAGGCTAGTCACTTCATTTCCTGACTGGCTTACCGCCAGACCAGTTCAGCATAAGCCAACTCAATACTGGCCAATTTATCCCTGACCCATTTGTCATAATCCGGTTAAGGATCAAAGCCGAAATGTTGTTGCACTTCTGCTTTAATCTGTTGAAAGCTAAACATCCTAAAATGTTTGCCTTGATCAGCTGAGTTACCTCTAAATGCTTAAGATATCAAAATCTAGACCGGATATAATTTACAGACATCACAACTTTCAAAGTAGTCCATCTGTGATCTGCTGAAATCTTACATGCAACCTGTTCATTTGTCGACTTTTGGCGTAATGCTAAGATCAACCGAATTCAAACCACCCAAATAAAATGATTGAAGCTTCGTTTGTACGTGACGAAGTGATGATGAGTATAATAATGGTAATAATAATAATAATAATAATAGCCGTTCATTTGTTACCGTTTTAGTACTGTTCCTTTGTGAATTGATGATTACGATTTCTAAGTAAACGCAAATAATCTACGGTTTTTCGCAAAGACACATTTGTATCTAGCTATTCATGATCAACAGAACAGACGGTTTCGCCACTCCCCTTTTATACCAGTGACAAAATCGAATGTCTCCTACACAACACGGCTTCATCATTTTTCGTACGAATAGTCAACGACAGTAAAGCGCTGCAGGAAGAGGAACAGTAAATATGTTGGTAAAATACAGACGCAGTTTTCAGCTGGACAGACTAAAGGCGAGGAAGTCACACGGGGCTAGTATTGTCAATGGTGTGAAACGAGATAGACGCGGGTGACAAGGAAAGCAACTGAGTATAGAAATGGCCACACACCGATAGGTCGTAATCAGTCTAATAGGTTCAACTTCCGCACAATATCTCTGACAGCCCGAACGGATCGAGGCTTTTCATGTTAACCTGATTTGTGCTTATTACCCATTGTGTCGAACACACTCGGTGATGCAATCAGACGATTACTCAATAAAGTGATGAGTTCTGTTCAGCTTCATTCTGTTCATCAGCTTCGCAAATATGGACAAGGCAGATTTACTGATCATTAAATGTTCACTGCCGTGTGTACATCCGAAACTGCTGCCGCGGAATCGTTTTCCAGGAAAGAGCGATAAGCCTTGGAGTAGAATGTTATAATGTGATCCACAAATAAGCCAAGCAAACCTAAAAGGAAATGACAGAAGTGCTTCAGTAACATTTGAACAGCAGCCATGTCTCTGATTATCTCCTAACAAAACGAAGCACTAGTTGTTACCCGAAATCAGTTCGCGTCAATAAACTCCGAGAATTTCTCACTACTCACTGAAATCACTGGTTACCCAATATTATGACGTCTGACAAGCGAGCTACGGTTTGAATGTATCTGTCTCTCTATGAAGCTTCCAGTCTTTCACTCGATCAAACAACATAACTCAAACTATCGCCGGTACTTACATCCACATGTTCAGTAGTATGAATGGAAACTCAGCTCGTGTTATTAAGTACAACAATATATGGTGTGAAACGAGATAGACGCGGGTGACAAGGAAAGCAACTGAGTATAGAAATGGCCACACACCGATAGGTCGTAATCAGTCTAATAGGTTCAACTTCCGCACAATATCTCTGACAGCCCGAACGGATCGAGGCTTTTCATGTTAACCTGATTTGTGCTTATTACCCATTGTGTCGAACACACTCGGTGATGCAATCAGACGATTACTCAATAAAGTGATGAGTTCTGTTCAGCTTCATTCTGTTCATCAGCTTCGCAAATATGGACAAGGCAGATTTACTGATCATTAAATGTTCACTGCCGTGTGTACATCCGAAACTGCTGCCGCGGAATCGTTTTCCAGGAAAGAGCGATAAGCCTTGGAGTAGAATGTTATAATGTGATCCACAAATAAGCCAAGCAAACCTAAAAGGAAATGACAGAAGTGCTTCAGTAACATTTGAACAGCAGCCATGTCTCTGATTATCTCCTAACAAAACGAAGCACTAGTTGTTACCCGAAATCAGTTCGCGTCAATAAACTCCGAGAATTTCTCACTACTCACTGAAATCACTGGTTACCCAATATTATGACGTCTGACAAGCGAGCTACGGTTTGAATGTATCTGTCTCTCTATGAAGCTTCCAGTCTTTCACTCGATCAAACAACATAACTCAAACTATCGCCGGTACTTACATCCACATGTTCAGTAGTATGAATGGAAACTCAGCTCGTGTTATTAAGTACAACAATATGAACAAAAAACAGCCTAAGTTTTTATGATTAGTTGAATTATCTGTTCTCACCTAAATCTGATAAAACTGAAGCCGTGAACAATGCTTGTTTTCGAGAAATTTACTCATTTGCAAATCAGTTTGGTTTTCACGAGAGACTCAACTGAATCCCTCGTTTATGCTATTCTACAATTGAATATGCTTCACACAGGCCGTCTCATGTTTCAGCTGGCACGATATCATAAACGAGAGATTCAGTTGAGTCTCCCATGAAAACCAAATTGATTTACAAATGAGTGTATTTCTCGAAAACATTCCGATTCGGGTTCAAGTAGAACATAAGATTGACGGAAACTCGGGGACTGCGCCTACGTAATGAGCCTCAAGAAGGGCGAAACCGGTCGTGGGCCGAGAAGAGTTTTCAGCTATGAGATGAGTAGTTTCCTTTGTGAAAATGTTTGTTTTCTGTGATCGTGGCCAGTGTAAAACAAATGTGTGCGAAATTAGACATAAATGGATTCAGGTGTACAAATGTAGACGAGGAAAGGTCGACGGATCATGGAGACACAAGAGCTGACATGCACACTTTTCGCCCTTTTTCACATTCGTACTGGTGAGTGTATCAAGCTAATGGATGTATTTCCTAGTTTCACGTGAGTTTCCGATCTATCAGGCAAAACGAGCAGCCATAAAAACAAGCCTTGTTTGCTACATTCATTATCAAGCTATTGTCACAATACCCAGAGAGAGCAAAGCAGTGAATGTCGTTCAACTAACAGACTGGTTAGTCAGGTTAAGTGCCGACTTGGACTTACTTGAATGCAGTGGGTCCTATCGCGTACTGTGCTAGTTAAGTAAGGAGTCAATGAACTTTAAAAACTATCGACTATCGATGCAACACTGTCACGTCAGTACCAGTGGAAAATAGCGAAAGAAATGCGGATCAAAACGAACGATTCTGTAGGTCAACTGATTTGTTAGTTTGTCTTCGAGAGTTTTTTATTGCTTGTGCGTTTGTGCTTGTGCTCTGTTATCATGTGACTTGGTTGTGCACTGTGGTGGTTCTTGAACTTATAATGTTGATCTGTACGTTTATCTGTACCTTTATCACATGCGATGTCGTTGACAGAAATCTTCAAATAGTACATCCCACATAAATTGTCATCTTTGCCTATTGCCGTACCATGGAATTTTGACGAACGAAAAATTAGCAAAACGACGAATTGATAGTTGGTCAAATCAAAAGTAAGCGTGGATGATCTCATTACCGGGTTAATACAACATCGGGTCGTGACATAAGAGAGTTCTGAACTCATTGGACAATTCATTATGTCCGCTTTGCAGAATCCGACCAGCTATACACCTAGATATATACATGTGTTGGTGATGCTCCTTTACGAAAGTCTACAGAAAACACCTCCGTGTTCAAACACTGAGAAGTGCCTAGGAGGGTCCAGTAAAACTGTAAAATTTCATGAAGCAGAGCTGAAAACCCTTTGGCAGTCCACGACCGGTTTCACCCTTTAACTTTGGTCTCATCAGGTAGGCGCAGTCTTCGAGGTTCCGCCAACCAATATTCTACTTGAACACAAATTGCACGAAATTCAACGAGTACACCCGTTTGCACACCACTTTGTTTTCCACGGGTAACTCATATGGATGTCTCTCACTGTGATACTCTGCGACTGACATGAAGCTGCCTTTGTGCAGCACATTCAGTTGTGGGACATCATAACTGATACTACCTAGGTTACTGAAAAACCATCAGTAGAGTCTCCTGTAGAAACTAAATTCGTGTGCAAATGAGACTATTTGTCACAATCACAAACGGCAGTTTGTCCGCCATTCTCAGAAAATCGCTCTCAACACCTGCCTAGTGGGAGCGCACAGTAAAGTGCTGATGGGATTGTTTGACCCTCTCGGCCCCAACGCCTGATAAATTTCTCTCGGCTGGTTCATCGTTAGGAAGTAGGTTTTCATTCATAAGTCTAGTTGGACGCTATTATGTAGCTGTGATATGACAGTTATAGGCTGCTCCTGGGATGCTGAGACTGCAAACATTAGTTCCGTCCTGATAACGCTTGACAACACTTTTCGCCTAGGAACCTTGGATGAAGGAAAAACTGTTGGCCAGTCCTCGTTTATGGCGCTTTCCGGATGGATTACAGAAGGTTTGGAGAAGGATAGATCTCCTGATCGGCTAACTCAACAAAACGGAGTCATGAGCACAGCCACACCAACGATGAAACAAGGGTCTGTCAGTTGTGATCTTCCAGGATCTACGGAATTTATTCTGTACGGACTACCAAACGTTGTATTTTTAGGGGCTGGTAAAAGCGGACAATGAGTGAACTGTGCTATGCAAGTACTTATTGGTATACCGTTTTTAATACGATGCTTTGTTTTACAGATTATTGACACTGATAACTATGAATGATTCGGTCTTGAAGAAAGTGTCTTTAATTCAACTCCGTTGTGAATTCATGCTCCGATGTAATATCACCGGATAATTTCTAAAGAACGTGTCTCACTGAAAACAGGATTCCGCCTAACACGTCCATTGTTTTGACACCACACAGATACAGCTTCGGTCAATGAAGCCCAACGCATATTCAATAAAACGAGCCTACCTCTTCAAAGTAGCACGTAAGGTTTACCCTCGAATCAGCAACAGTTACCACGTTTCGGCACTCAGTAAGACACCTTTGCATTAAAGTAGGCGGAAGTTGAATTAACTGACCAATTCAGACAGAGCTTTGAAACCTTTTCTTTACTTCACAGTACCAGAAGCCGAAGGCAATGTTTTGACATTCCCCTGGTTTGAAAACTCCTCTTCCTTTGGAAATGCAGCTCTTCTAGCGAGAATAAACTGCACTCGAGTTTGGTCCTTAGGGTACCATGCCAGGAACTGAATGCCGAACCCGTGAAAAGCCACGCAAGTGTAGCACAACTTCCCCACATTGTTCAAACCACCAACATATCTGCCTACTCACACGTGACAAATCAAATGCATTCAGCATTTCTAGGGCAACGACAAACCCCTACCCGCAATATTACATATAATGAACTATTTTGGCATGGTAGCTCAAAGTGCACTCCGCGTAGAAACAACTAACCTGGTAGACACTATCCGTGCAGACAAAAATACCTGTCAATAATTGGACTCGCTTTTTAATTGTCTCGCCTGGATATATCAAGTGAGTGAATCCAGTGACGGTTGACTGCATGTCGTAAGCATTGTGTAGCATCAGTTTACTTAGCTCCAACCGTAAGGTTGTGGTGCTTAAGCGCCCGAGTGTTAACGTCACTTGTGTGTTTTGTGGACCAGACTGCCATACTCATTTGCAACCATCCGCTTGAGAGTTAAGTGACCGGTGATGATGAAATACTGTTCAAACACACTAGAGGCTTACCACATAACCAGCGGAACTGTAAAATTTTGATAGTGTGTGGTGACGCGCTGTATAAATGCTTCAATAAGAGTGAGACTCGTGTCCACTCCCTCTGTCTTTGATGCGAATTCATTAGGAAATCGCTGCAGGATGGGCGGTGGGTTTTGTTAACGGGAGTGACGTGCATGTGGATCTCATAAATCCCGGAATGCCTAAGAAGAAGTTAAACTAAACAGCACATAAGTGATTGTTCACGTTTTTTGTCACAGTGAAGGAATCGATCAAAATCAGGCCATATGAAATCTAACTAGTTCGCACGAATTACAATGTAGAAACTCCAGCCGTAAAATTATTTCCGTTGTATATTTTAACAAAAATGTGACAGAATTGTTCAAACTCTTGATGAAATCATTCTCTTCTGCCAAAATTATTCGTGAATCTGAACTCACTTTGAGCAGTTTACCTATTGACTTGAACGGACATAGGGAGCACCGTGATTGGCTGCAGGGCAAGTTTCGGCTAGCGAACGACGTTGCGACCCTATGGGTCAGGAGCTAAGGGGGGAGATAGCGTTGCGCCAATGTGAACGTGACTCAGCCAGCGAGGAAAGTGAGCACACTACCAATAACCAATCACGTCCCTCTTCTGGGGCAGTGTTTAGTGCACACTTGCCACACCAAGCAGAGCATTCAGTTATCCAATCACGTGCAGAGGTGCAAACTGACCATTTCGATAGGCACATTCTTCAAGCAGCCATCAAGCCTTGGAATGGAGATGACTCAATCAATCAGTCAATTTTCACCTATAAACCGTGTACCATAGGACCAGAATAGGTGCCTATTGTTTCAACTTATTACTTGGACCATCGTCCCCTCGTGAGCAACAGCCAAGAATAAAAGGCCTCCATCAATGACGTTTCCGAAGATTGTCGAAGAAATGTGAAGATAATTATGTCCTATCTGGACCGTAGATGGGCGCTTGCTTCACACTTCCATTAAGACCTAGCAGCAGGTGGTTTGATACGCAAGCGACTGAAGCTACTGGCGAGGAAGATCTCATCAATAGGCAAAGCGAAGAAAGTTGTACGCGGGTGAAAAATGTACCCGCTTGAGTTTCGAGATGAGTTGAAACACCGCATGATAGTAAAATGCATCATATCTACGCAACTTGTAAAGACTGCGCAGTCACGATAAACCAAGGCCTATCATTACTAAAACAGATCCTGTCCGTCCAGTTGAATGTGAAAAAGTGCATCCTGCAAGCTGCAAAATCCTCCATGAGGGGCCTTATGCAGTTAGATTGGTTGATGCTCCAGTTGGGTCTCGAAACAGGCAATCGATCTCTGAACTGACTTTTCAATGTGGTGGTTTGTAGTGGTATGGTTGATAACTGTAATAAAGTAATCTAGCAGATTCTTCTAAGCAGTGTGAATTTTAAAAAAAATACTTAACGCATTTGTCCTTCTGCTTTACCCCATCTGGAAACCGAAGATAGTTCAGTGCAGCTGAGTAAGCATCATAAACCTTACCATTGAGCTTCCTAAAGAAATTTGATCCTTCATGTTTGCACGAAGAATCAACTGACAAAAGCACTAAATTCTGTCACTGAGGATTTGTTCTGGCTGGTTTCCAAATTAGAAATACTGGATGTGGAGGACTTTTTTCACTCTCTGAAGTGTGTTGTTTGAACATGGAAAGTGATCAGAGTGTTATGTCAGTCCATAACAAGCTGAACAGCTTTGAGTATTTGGAAGCCAAGGGCCATCAGCTTTTTTGATTTGTCCACAGCGATAAATTTGGGTTCCCCCTATTCGCATATGGAGCAAATTTCGATTGCTTAGAATATCGTAGAGACTGTTATTTTGGCGAGATTGTTGTAGGCGCTTAACATGGGCTCTCCTAACGAGTAAGGCACGGGTTTCATGAAGCAATCGGTCGTTCATCTCCTCCGGATTGGACTGCCTTGGTCAAGTAAACGTTAAGAGTTGTTTCTGCATCCGGTCCTCCCACAAGATTTGAGCGAACTGAATCGACTTAAATTTACGCTGTCCTGAATTCTGCACCCAATATCTGCGACGCACCACAGCGCAACTGACTGATACCTTCAAAAGAATTTACCCACTAAATCTAACAATATCTGGACTATTTTCTTTTGGGCTGTCTCCTATTGCAATTTCCGTTAAATGTCTGTCTGCCCCTCCAACGTAAGCCTCTCTTCAATTACAGAACTTGTAGACTGCATGACAGACAGCTGGATCAGACAACCTAGGCTTAGGCTCGTGCAGAGCGAATCCTTTGCACTCGGTATGAGACGTAGCCCGCCAGCAATAGAAACACGCCTCAAGTGGAAGTAAGGTTGTGCCTTATGTAGGAGCTCACATGGTCGTATTGGGATTGAGGGGATAAGTATGTTTCTTTCTTACTGGCTTAATAAACCGGGGTTGTTTGTGTTCCAGCTCTATTGTCGACTTCAAATAAAGGTCCCGGATAACTGCTTGTTGGGACAGTTTTCGTCAAAAAGACCCAATGTTGATCCAGTTGAACCGGAATGCAAGTTCTCCACAGACCCAGTTGAACCGGAATGCAAGTTCTCCACATTCACCATATTGAAGTCTCTACCAATCCACACTTAAAAGAACTGCAGATATCGAGTATTCCATATTCTCTTGCAGTGGACAGAACGTAGCAATTCGATTTACACTCGTGTGTCACATCGAGGTTAGAACTTGTAGAATTAAGGCCAGCAATGTCGAAAATGTTACCAACAAATCGATTATAAAATATTTTTTTCAAATATCACCTGTAGTTCTTTCTTTGGTCATCTCCAAGAAGACATCCACTAATGTTGAGCCCAAAGGGCTGTCTACAGCAATATCATCTCTGTGTTTGTCTGCCTTTTCCTAGGACTTCAACTTGTGCTTGGTAAAATTAGGCCTTTAATGTCACCAGGGCGCTTTAGATTCACCTAAAAGCACGTAGTAACCAAATGTCTCATGGATAAATACGTTGATGGATCAATATCAGAGGAAGGCAACCTCTGATAGCGCACCAAATTGTTTTCTAAATTGTCTGCTAGTTCAAAATAATCCTGTAAGCAGTGAAGAAAAAACCTTAATCGATCTGCTCCAATCAGTATGCAATTTTATCGCAGCCTGAATTATTCACGTAGATGATTGGTTTCGGTTCAAGTAGCTCTGAGAAAACTAACCGCTGAAAAAGTAAAACAATATTGTTGGTAATCCAATTGGTTTTGATGCTGAAATATGTTTAGAACGCGATAAATTACGACACCTGTCCACAACGAACACGCACATAGCCGGTGGGAAGTGGTCTCTCAAGAAGAGTGCACAATTCAAAGATGTACATTCTGGAGGAACTTTAGTTAGACAGTGAAAACATCCTACCAGCAAATGGAAAAAGACTACATGCACCAAACTCTCGCTAGTTCCATCAGTGTTCTGTAAAAAGTTTTTATGTATTATGGACATAACCTCTGTCGAGACATTTCTGTTCCGAAACGGAGTGGTCCTGCGACAATGGAATAAAACAACAGACAAAAAACTTTTCACCCCTGTAGCCTCGGATCAGTCAAAATCACAACAAACACCACAATGTGTGGTGTGGCGCTCACCACCTGCCTACTTCGGCCTGACACGCGACCGGTAGCGGGGGTGCTTCGGGCACGACAAAAAACACCTGTTTTATCGCACGTTCCAGACAGGTGGTGAACATAACGTGAAAAACACCAGAACGTCCGTCACTTGAACCGGGAACACCCATATTCAGAATGAATTTCGACCACCTTTTCAGTCGTACCTGAGCAGCCAGTATACTTCCCAAAGAAAAAGTTGACAGAAAATATGGATATCTGTAGTTCGTTGAATGAACAAGTGTGAATTCTGACAGATGGCTATCTGATTCCTGCATCGACGACTGGACGGAACTTTGCAGAACAC